TCAAAAGCACACCAATCACAGTTCACACATTTTGCACACGCACGCTACAGAAACAAAAGCACAACAATCACAGTCTAGACATTTTACACACGCACACTACAGAAACGAAAGCACACCTATCACTGTTCACACATGCACGCTACAGAAACAAAAACACACCAATCACTGTTCACACATGCACGCTACAGAAACAAAAGCACAACAATCACAGTTTACACACGCACGCTACAGAAACGAAAGCACACCGATCACTGTTCACGCATGCACGCTACAGAAACGAAATCACACCAATCATAGTTCACACATTTTACACACGCATGCTACAGAAACAAAAGCACACCGATCACTGTTCACACAGGCATGCTACAGAAACGAAAGGCATGGTACAGCATGATATTGTGATCTGATTTACAGAAATTGAATACTTTTAATGCCATTTATGTGAACCACAATTTGTTTCTATTCAATAATACAGATCCTCCAGTGGGACAGCGGTAAGTTTATGCACTTACAACGCTAAAATCCAGGGTTCGAGTCCCCTCCGTGAACATGACATCTAGCTTAATATGACTTTTCTCTAAAACAAACAAACGATAATATAATAATGTACCAGCTCAGGCCACTTCGTGACTAACGTTTCGAGTGTAAAATATATAAGTGCTATTTATTGCTTAATCATACGCGCGCTCATAACAAATCCACATGACTCATTAACGGGGTATACTGATAAAATGAGCACTGCCTAAAAAATAATACTGATAAAACTAATTCATAAACACCAGTGGTCCAAAGATGTAAATACTTGTCAGTTTATTTAAATCTTTGGTCGATAAAAATGTCACAATAAATGACTTCCCTTATAAATCACCAGTTGGGGAAATATGTAGATGAGTAAAACTAGCTATACACCCAATTAAAAAATAAAACGACAGTTGGGGGAAATATGTAGATGAGTAAAACTAGCTATATACCCAATTTAAAAAAAATAAAACGAATGAGTTTTTAAGCATATTTCTCTCAAAGCTAGTCATATAACTAGTTTGTTTTGTTTTGAATTTCGCGCAAAGCTACACGAGAGCTATCTGCGCTAACCGTCCCTAATTTACTAGTGAAAGACAAGAGGGAAGGCAACTAGTCATCACCACCCACTGCCAATCCTTGGACTACTATTTTACCAAGGAATAGGGGGATTGACCGTCAAATTATAACGCCCCACGACTGAAAGGGCGAGTATGTTTGGTGGGACGGGGATTCGAACCCGCAGATGTTATGCAACTAAGCTACTATTTAAAACAATGTAAAGCTTCGTTGTGAATGTGACATAAAATAGAAAGGTCGTTATAAAAATACATTTTTAATCTAAAACGCTTCGACAGTAAAAAAAATGAATATTATTTTACTAAAAAAATTTAAACTGAGTGACCTTATTTAAACCTTGCATTTTCCAGACTCATTAGTCATTCAATACAATTTCTAAATACATTATCACCTATGCCATCTAGCGGCACTTATATATATATACCATACACCCCACTGTAACTTAGCTACACCGAAACAAACGAGATAACACCACTAAACTTTCCTCCTATTTATGAATTGAGAAACTTCAGTCTTTGACGCAATACTTTTGTTCTATACTTAAAAGAAAATGCTGGAAATAATTTCTCCTCCTTTGATATCAAGAACAATAATATAACAAAAGCTCTTGGTGAGATGGAAGTTAAGAATGGAATCCATAGGCGCTGTCTGAATCAGAGTCACCTTTGTCAGTGGTGATGCTGTTAAAAAAGAAAAGAAAAGCTGTTATCATCATTAAGTATAGAACATACGACATATTAAAATATGTCTAGCAAGATTAACAACGTTAACAGAACACCTAGTAAAACCTGTGATGTAGTGTTAGATCGGTTTAATACAGTACGAAAACAACAACAAAATAACATGATTTTTGGAACAAGCTTTTTTCAATTCGAGTTTAGTACAAATTATACAAACAGTTGGAGGCCTGGAATCGAACAGGAAATATGATGTCATACCGACTTGGAAGACGTAAAGCATGAGTACCTATACCATAATAGTACAATGTGTTTCTAACAGGGGGCGCTCGTGTTTAGTTCTACAAATTCATTATTAAAGAGCTTTCAAGACAATATATATATTTTTTATTGCTGTCAGTTCAGTGCCAGATATTGGCGACACAAGCGGTTGTGGAAGGCGCTAAGTTACGGAAAGCTCAAGCTAAGCTATTTCTTTGTTCAAAAGCAAAGCTACACAATGGGCTACCTACACTCAGTCCACCGCGAAGATTCGAACCCCGGATTTTAGAGTTGTAAGTCCGTTAACTTACTGCTGATCTACCCGGATATTTAAAGTTTTTTTTTCACCTTCTAACTGAAGCACCTTTGTTAATGTAGTAATCGTTCATAAAGTAGTCCTCACTGGTTACTACTAATTTGTATCATGCCGCTATTACGCTTGCTAGTCCACTCGTCATAACAAGGCTTAACGCTTGTTTAAAAAAAACATTCTATATTTTTGATAATATGCAATACAACAAAACAAACCGTTCCTGCTAAATTAGGGTATTCATAAACCTAGAAAAGTCAGGTAATTTAGAAAAAAGGGCCAAAAAGTCGAAAAATTATTCAAAAACTTGGACAAATTAGGGGCAATTGTATCTTTCCCACCTCCTTTATCCCAGAACCTGCACTTTCACGCAAATCAAGATGCTTACCTTGTTTCAAAATTTTCGCGCAAAGCTACACAAGAGCTATCTGCGCACAATGGTTCCTAATTTTTAATTGACAGACTAGAGGAAA